GTCGGACGGTACAAGTCAAAAAACAAGTTGCCCGTTACTTGTCACATAATCAAAGATTGACACAATTACAAATCGTTCACACCAACTTTGTGTTTTGTTAAAACTGTCTATTAGTTGAAATTTGGTAACTGTGCTAGAGGTGTAAGATGTGAATTACTGACAGAAAATGTAGACCCCCCCCAAAAAAAGTCATTCAGTAATTCGCACACTAGCTAAACCCCTTCATAGCTTTATATGCTTTTTATTTATAAAAAATTTTTTAAAGGTATTTCTGGTATGTTACATTTATTTTGAGTTGTCAGTCTAACAAATACATGGACGTTTCATGTCCCACAATGATTGGTGTCCGATTTTTTCTTTTTTTCACACAGTCACACATCACCTTGATATGTTATGGAGGTGTCTTTTCAGTTCACTATGTTAGCATAAATATCAAACCTTAATTATTCCTGTATGCCCACTCTTTTTTCCCCTGCTTCTGTTTTATTTGAAACAGAGTAGCCATATGTATGCCCTTCTGTAGCTCAGTGTTCTCGTTCTAAACACTACATAAGCTTTTTTTTTTTTTTTTTGGTTGCATCATCACTCCCTACCCAGTGGCGTGGTTATCTACAATCAAATGCGAACAAAACTCTAGAAAGTTTATGCTGACTGTAGATGGAGCTTTATTTATCCTTCAGTGACCCCTATATCTCTTGCTAATACTCTAACAATGGTTCTCAAGTGGCTCTCAAAAAATGGGTTCCAGATAATAACATTTAAAACTGCTAAATACAGTCAATAAAACATTTCACTTTGTCTTTTGTTGTTGAAATTGTTGACTGTGACTGTGCTTTAACTATTTTATAATATTAATATATGTATTGTTTGATAATAAGGACATTTATTTACTTTTAACTGTCTAATATATAATCTGAGCCCTGAACTGGTTGAGAACTACTGATCTATAAACAATACTTTTGTTCTAACTTGTGTTCCTCTTCCTCTACACTTTCTCATCTTATCACATACACTAGTTAAACTTTTCTGTTTGTTTCTCTCAGCTTCTGGTCCCTCCCTTTCTCCCTCCCTCCTTCACTCACTCACATCCCATTGGCAGTGCCTTATTTCAAACCCTGTACTCTCCCTCCTGCTGATGCCTTTCCATTATTTTGCATCCTTACAAATACACCCCTTCCTAAAAGTTTGACCCTTACACATCACCTGAGATTACCCCCGTATTGACCTTCTCTGTCCTCCATCTGTTTTTCAATTCCTTTTTTTTCCCTTCTTTTCTTTGTTTTTACCCTACTCCATTCTTTCCCACCGCTAAGAATAGTTTCCATCAAGTTCATGTGTGATTTGGCTTAACACAAATTATATCCCATCTCTCTCCGGCTTCATTCCCTGAGTACTTAATGGGGGACTATAAAGGGATGGTAATTAACCGGAGAGGGCACTTTTATTAATTAGGTTTTAACGAGAGCTGAGACTGGATGGTGTATCTTAAGAACACTGTTAGTGCTAGATATTGGAATATAGTCATGCACGTCTCAATGCTGTCACTGTAAGATGAGTCCTCTAAGCCCCATTCTGAATATCTTTCTCACTCTCTTGACTAAAAAAAATGAGGGGGCCTTTTGAAAAGGGCTTCTGACTGCTGAGAACAGAGCTGTGATTTTTTTCAAAGCAGAGGTCAAAGTCTGACTGATGACCTTCTGAGGATATATGATATATCCATGTGTGCCAGTGCTTTTTAGTTTGTCTTTTCACAGCATAATTTGATTTAAAGCTAATTAATTGTGCTGTGACATTGCTTTTTTCTGAATGTGTCTTATGTTTGTGTGCGTAAGCGTCCTTGCTCTGTTAATTTATGTTCTTTTAGTGCTATTCCACAAGAGACGTCAATATGAGCAACTCGGCTGAGAGTAGCTTAGTGCACACAAATAAGGGAGAGAGAGAAGGAGGCAGGGACTGCAAAAAGCCTTAATCACTGAGATCAGGAAGCTCCGAGATAATACCTGGTCAGTTCATAACAAATGCAATTCAATCGCTGATTTATAAGTGATTTCAGTTCATTAAAAGTGTGTATGGTCCAAAAAGGGACACAAACCTGTATGCAATGCATCGACAGATGGTTTACATAAGGCATCCATACCTCAGTCGGGGAGAAAGCTTGAAGAGGAGGGGGTACTGCAGTATTTTGAGCTGTGCAGTTCCCCAATGAGTCCTCTAGGTGGCCTTTGAGCACCGCTGAGTTTCAACTGCAGTGGGAAAGCAAGTAGAAAAATCCAAAGAACCTACACTGCACCAGACAGAGAGAAAGGGAGTTAGAGTGAAGGGATAATGCAGACGCACTACAGCATATTGTACGATAAAAGAAAAAGAGTGTAGATATGGTTCAGTTCTACTTCCTTCTCATAACAGTGCATGTAGTATATATCACTTCTCTTTGGCATTGTTTCTTTAAATTGAATAATTTATGAATGGAGCTTCATTTACCTTTACTGCAGTCATTCCTTCTCATTTCCCTCAGTGGCCGTAACCTGTTCTCTCCCTTTTTCCTCTCTCCCTGCTCTCTGTCGATATAGTGCTGTTGTCTTTTATAGGCGTATCTGTCCTTACAACCAAACCCCATCCCAACGGAGATACACATTTTAATGTACTTCCCTCCATCCAGGCACACACACTTAACAATGATTTCCCTTTTTAGTGGGAGCCTTTTTGTTTTTTTGCTTTGTCAGCACAACTTCCCCCCCCCCCCAGTTTCAGTTTTTCCTATTCATCAATTTATTTATTTACCCCTTTTGTGTTCCTTATAGTTATTTATTTCACCACCACATGCTTGGCATATTTAAACACCTTGCAAAAACAGCACTGGTTTAGCTAATATTGTTATGTTGGGTGGCCGAGACAAACATAGTGATGTTTTGATAGTGTTTCCACTTTGGATGATTTAGTTATATATATAATTAAGTGATTTAGTTATATATAATTAAGTGCTATGAGAATACAGATTGGAAAAGCAGTGTAACACCAGAACAGTTGTTAGTTGATTGTTTTTATATTATTATAAATTTTTTGGTTATGACTTTATATTATTATGATTATTATTACATATTATTTGTGAGATATTTTTGTATTTTATTTAGTATTTTATTCATTTTATGTCTGTTATAAAATGTTTTGCTCATTTTTTAGCTGTATTTCCAGTCCTTATACTGTTTTAAATGATTAACTGAAACCCATGCGCTGTCCGTGGTGCTGAAAGCAGAAACCATATATCAATTTAAAAAAGCAGTGAATGCATTTACCTTGTTTCATATGATTCAGCCTCTCTCCTTCCTATGGTTCTCATACTCCTGTGATCTTTGTTGTTTCAACAGTTAATCACAGGGGTGCATAAGGGAAAGCAAGAGAAAGAGTGAGCTGAGGAGAATGGATAAGAGTGGATAAGTAATAAGGGAAGACAGTTTGACAGATATGTATGGAGCAGCCATGCAGCACAGCCAAACAAGAGGAACAGATATAGGAGAGTTATTGTGAAAGCCAGAAGCGACAACACAGCAAAACACGGGAGAAGGACATTGGTCGGTGAAATCGGACCCTTCTACACTGTAAAAAAACATTTTTGCTAGGCAATAGTAAAAATTGCTTCATGTAGTAACTTCTAAATTAACATGTTTTATTACATTTAAAACCCTTATTTAACATGAGGGAGTCAATTTGCCTACATTAGGTCACACTAACAAAAGTAATTTTTAAAGGTTAAATCAACTACAAATGGCCCGTTACCACTTTTTACAGTGCACGACGACCCCAAGAGAAAAAGATAATAACGTCCCTGCTCCATATTTCCAAAATGGGACATTTTGATTGGAAAAAGAGAGCCAGGACTCATTTGTTTCACTATAGCTATGAATAAAGACATTCAGTTTTTAAAGCACTTACTCAGTGTAATGCAGTGAAAATATGAATGTGCATATGAGAGGTTATGTGAATCTCACCCTTTTTAATAGTATATTGTAATTTTGTAGTTTGCACACTCAAACAATTACGATTTTCTGGATTTTACGTCTGCAACCAAGGTTAATACTGTACAAAGACTGTACTGAATGATCTGCATAACATTAGCACTGCCCAGAGAGAGAGCGAGAGATAGTGTAAGAGTTAATACTCTGCAGTCTTTTCTCCCTATTTTGTGTAGCTCAGCAAATAATCGTTCCGCCTTTAGCTTTTCTCCCTCTTCCTCCCACCCTTTCTCTTGCTCTCATTTTCCTCCTCTCCCTCTTTCTATTGGATACGCTCAGAGTATGGTGTGGGGAGGGGGGTGGCTGTGAAACATTCAGTCATTTTCATCTCCCTTCGCTGTAATTGAGCAGAGTGTTTTAGTTAATTGAGGGACATGAGAGCTGAGTGATGGTAAAAGATGGTAAGGAATGATGGGTGGGCATTGCAGAGGAGGAGGCGTCTCTTTCCTGTTTATTATGTGACACGTGAACGTATATTGAACTCGCTCCTTCATTAAAATGCTTATCCCATATGCCTGCATTAACATTCATCTGATTTTGTATGTTGGCTAGGGCTGTTGCCAAAGATTTTGACAGTTTTTTATGGACAGGCCCTCTCTTTTCCAAGCCCAGTGAATAGACTATACCATAAATGACCTTAGGTATATGATATTTGTGTTTGCCCTAGACAGTGGCCCTAATATTTGCAGTTTCTTGTAAATTTTAATAGGTGTTTTGACAAAATCTAGATTGACATTGCATTGCACCACCTACACTTTACAAAACTGGGGCAGTAGGCCTACCCTTTAAAAGGTACACCTTTGTACATTTACCCCTAAACGGTACATATTAGTACCTAAATGCTCTTTAAACTAAAGGTTCTCAAAGGGGGTTTCTGCAGTAATGCCATAGAAGAACAGTTTTTTTGGGCTCCCCAAAGAACCTTTCAGTGAGCAGTTCTTAAGAGAACCTCTTTTTTTTTTTGAAGAACATTTAAATTTTCTAAAGAACCTTTTTCCACTATAAAGAATGCTGCAATGGAAATGATTCATGGCTCTTCATGGAACCATAAAAGCAAATAAAGAAGCTTTATTTTTAAGAATGTAGTATCTTTTGTAAAGTCAGTTTTTGTACCACTTTTCCTGCAGTTGTACAAAGCCATTAGTAACTGGTGCAATAACTAATGATGTGATGAGTTAGAAGCAGGTTACTTTGACAAGTTTGATAATGTATAAAAGTGTGAGCATCACTAATTTTCTCATCTCTTCTGTTCTCCCACCGCAGGCTCCTCCTCCCCCCCTCCCCGCTCGGTTCTCTCTCCTCCTCTCCCTCCCCCTGCTCCTCTATGCTCAGTTCGGTGTGTGTCTCCTCTTTCAAAGGGCGCAAGGGTGGGAACAAGTCGTCCAACAAAGCATGTTACAGCGCAGACATGACTTGTCCGTCAGACAGCGAGAAAATAGTGATAAACTGCGGGGGGATTCGGCACGAGACGTACCGCAGCACACTGAAGACGCTGCCTGGGACCCGCTTGTCCTGGCTCACGGAGCCAGATGCGTTCAGTAACTTTGACTATGACCCCAAATCCGACGAGTTTTTCTTTGACCGTCACCCCAACACCTTTGCTTTCATCCTTAACTATTACCGCACAGGGAAGTTGCATTGTCCCAACGATGTCTGCGGTCCTCTCTTCGAGGAGGAGCTCGCGTTCTGGGGTATCGACGAGACGGACGTGGAGGCTTGCTGCTGGATGAACTACCGACAGCATCGGGACGCCGAGGAAGCGCTGGACAGCTTCGAGACGCCCGAGCCGGACCTGCCAGAGGACGACCCGGCGCTAACGGGTGGTGCGGACGGGGACTTGAAGAGGTTGTGTCTACAGGAGGATGGTCGCAACCCCAGCAGGTGGAGTACCTGGCAGCCCTTCATGTGGGCGCTGTTTGAGGACCCCTACTCCTCGAAATACGCCAGGGTGAGTGAGTGTACCGGCAACTTGTTAGTTTACTTTTTAAACGTGTCTGTATCAGTTTTGAGCTCACTTCTTGTAATATGGCATTATGGTCCCTGTGTTACCTGTTCAGCTACTATTTGACTGTATATTTCTCGTGTAGGCTACATAGAATCATGAACTGGTCCGCAAGAGTCGGAATAGTCCACTCACTGGCGTACTTTTCACAAGTTGTAAACTTTTGGAAAGTTTGTTAGCTTCGTTCGGACTCCGGAGAGAAAAGGACTCGGGTTCGTTATGTGGACCCTTTCTCTGTCACTCTCTCTCTGATAAATGCAGTATTTTGTCTCGCTGTCACTCTCTCCATGCGTAGACAATTATTTGCCGGTGTTGTGCCCATTTTCGACCCCCTGCAAAATGATTACCCCTCTCGTTGAAATCGCTATCTAATTGCCTAATCCTAACCCCTCCCACACACCTAACCGTTATAGGGTGACCATACGTGCCATTTTCCCAGGACGTAACAATGCGCAGTCGCCTCCTCAGTACTTTGTCGCGCCTTTTTAAAACGTACCTTTTTGCTTCTGCTGTTAATATAATCATGACCTCACTTGAAATGTTGAAAAGTTGCTTTAATGCTTTGAAGAACATTGTTATTCAGTTTATACTCGGCTTCCTGCTATACAAAAGCCTTGTTGATTCTACTTCGTCAGTCGCAGCATCCAGCGATCAAATTTGTCTTAATAAATGAAACATTTCATGTCCATTAACTTGCTGGGTAGCGAGACGAATAATTATCAGTCAGACGGTCATTATCGCAAAAATAAACCCTTAATTTAGATACACACACATTCATATCTCATCCGCCAGTCATTGCGCATGCGCAAAGTGTTTGTAATTTCGCTGTTGTCCATACTGCAGAACGGTACCTGGCAGACCCCTACGATATTGAACGTCACCAGGGCATTTACCCTGAGGTGGGCACTATTGAGTTTTGACTATGAACTGCATTACCTTGCAAATTTTGTTTTTTTATGTTAGAAGAACATTTCCCCCCACTTGTTCCTGAACTGCTGAAACATTCATGCCTGACAGGAAGCATGTTTTTATGCTCACAAACTTTTTAGTCATTTTGTTCATTTTGTAGCCTATATTTCATCACGTAAATGGTGTGACCCTTAAAAATTGTACAGATTTAACCACCAGGAAAGGTATTTGAGAAAATTCTAGCTTACCAAACAAGTTACTTGTGTCAGGTTGTGCTTAGGTATTTATCCACTTTGGAAGCACAGGATCTTCACGGTATCCCAGGAACTACTGCGTTTCCCATGGGTCTTACTTTTAACTGAATCAGTTTCCTGCTTATTCAGCAGAAGCCCCGTATGTCACTGGCACCACAATCACCTGCTAATCGTTACATCCTACCTCTCACATCCAGACCTGAAGCAATTAGATTTTTTTTTCTGGGTGCCACACTTGGGATCCCAATTTTGGGATAATGAGCATAATAAGGTCATATGAATTCATAAACTTTACACAGATTGCGGCCCAATTAGATGCGCCAAACTTTTTTACTTGCAAGTTTAAGCAAATAATCACAGACATTTTTTTTTCTGTCTGTCAATAATTTTTTTTGTACAAATCTATAACAATTTTAGGAGAACAAAGTCACTTACTGACCCTTGTTGGTTAAGAGATGTTTCAGCTGGAGCACATGAAAGGCAATTCACCCTTTGCCTCTCAGAACACCATTCACGAGCTAGTGAACAGCGACCATTTATCTCCTTTATCAGTGCAGGCTATTTAAGATATTTATCTCCCGCGGCACATCTGGGTTAATAGATCATAGTCATGAGCAGTCGATACACACTTGCTTTCTTGAAATGAGCCCAGGGTACCAATTAACTGATCAGTTTTCCATTGAATTTTGGGCTGCATTTGATTGCAGAATTGCTCTTAATGCGTTTGAAGTGTCTGCGATTGTAAGTTATCCAGCTCACAGTTCTCAAGGGGAGGGAGAGATGCCGTCATCATTTTACTGCGTCGTCATTGAACGGAGGTCTTTTATCAACCGTGACACGCATAGTGTTTGATTAGCGGGCTGCTGTATGGGTGCAGGGCCTCGTGCCGGATTGCTAACCATCACTTACAACCTCCATGTCCCTTCCTCTCGCTGTGCTATAGCGTAACACTGCGGCGTCTCATACTAGCTGACTGCGCGTTGATTTCTGCTGCAGAGCAACCGAATAACAGAGCAACAGAGGCAGAGCCAGTGCATTTGTTTGTGTGCATGCATGCAGTGCTGTTTGCAGTGCAATTTTTGAAATATAAAAGTATACAAATGCATGCAAGGTGTGTGTTATCTAGATTTTGGTTACATCTTTAAACAATTCAGTTTTAATTTCAAGCACTTGTGAAGACGTGTCTTCAGAGTAAATTCTGACTTTCAAAAGACTGTGGTGTCAGGCACTATAACAGAAATAGCATGAGTATTTGAGTTGATTTATGAAGGCAAGACTGAGAGCTGTATCTCTCTCTGTTTAAATTCCTGGTTTAAATCAGATGTTCCAGTGAGCCCGTACATAGGTGAAGAGTTGCTGCAAACCCTGACTCCTCACTGGCCAGATTAAAGGATTCAGATAACAGTTACCTACATTTACCAAGCTACAATATCATTTTATTCAGGGGTTTTTCAAATTTTTTTGATTCCATGAACTCCCAAATATGATGAATGGCATGCGAGGGACCCGCTTCCTAAAACATAGAAGACAAATAGATTTTCATGTATTCTATTATATTTACATTCTATTATTTTATTTTATATGATTTTATTTTAATTTACACATTTAATTTTTTGTGGCTTCCTGGGGGTCCCCGGACTCTAGCTTGAAAACCACTAATCTAATTGAAAATGGTATCTGTAGCACTGGAGCTGTATGGCAGGTTAATAATAGAGATCACAAAACAAAACAAAACACACTCAATGACAATTATGTGAAGAGCAAATGCACAGTATGCAGAATGATCGGAATTGCTTTAGTGTTGTTCAGCATCTCAAGCTTGTAGTCAAGCACATGTTGTATGAGCGGATGGATAACAACCTGCGGGTGCATAGTTATTCACGTGCAAAATCCTATTCGATAAGGGTGAACAACTATTAAATGAACTACAGAGCTCTAGCAGCGTCTCTTAGCAACAGCCCTTAGTCAAAATAATCCCACTTTGCAGTGCTCTGTCTATTTTGTTCCCACGCATACGTACATATATATATATATATATATATATATATATGCAGAAAGCCTTTAATTAATGTCACAATTCACCTCTCCTCAGGTGGACGGTCCAGTATGTATTTAGAAATGTACAATTGCTTTGTGGCTTTGCATTTTTCATGATACTCATCACTAAATAATTGCTTTTACATGAGTAAAGTTTTAGTAGATCAATCCTGGATCGATGGCTGTGTCTCAAATCCTAGTGAGTTCCCAGCTTAGACAGCATTGTTGTGTATCATATTCATATCGGCCTGTATGTCTATGTTTGATTGTACTGTCACCAGAACAAATAGGACGTCACTACCGGAGCTGTGCTGAAAGGCTGAATGGCTGTTGCACATGTGTGATTTTCCCGAGGTTAACTGCATTGCCAGCACTAGTACTCTAATTCTATTCTAATCAAAGGAAGTGGCTTAACAAAAACTGTTCACCTTACCAATTTTAAGTTCCCGATATATATATAATATCCTATTTGTGTGTGTAGCATACCTGCAAACATTTGATCATCCTTATGTAAAGGACAAATTAACAGACAAAGAAGATCTCTAGTTATGTTCTAATCAAATTAAGTGTCTTAAAAACTGTTCACCTCACCAATATTTAATTCCTAGTATGAATAAAAAAACATTTGGCTCAAATCCTTTGTCAAAATTTTGAATGAATGCATAGAGGGAAGGTTTTGTGTGAAAACTGGGGGGAAAAATGATCAGAATTATTTTTTTTTCAGTGCTTATGCTGGATTTCCCAATTGCACAAATATCCCATTCCCGTCGTATAGTACTGTCTCCATACCAGGTGTTTG